AGTGCACCATCTTTGAACACCTTTAAAAATAGATTGGATAGTTTCTCCAAATCTCAAAATACACGCGCATCAGCTTATTAAAAGCTGCCACTGTGTTAATATACATAATAATAATACATTACATACGAGAACTTTAATTAAAATAGTGGGTTCTAGTACAGAATTGGACCATACTTCCCTGCAACCTTGTTTGTTCTCTGTGGTTAGGCGATTGGATACATGTTAGGCTCTGTGTTTACTCAAACGTAATACAGTACGACCAACAATTTAACAAAAGCTTTTGAGAGACGTTACAATATCCTTTTCAATATTATGATTTACATTTATATGTATATATGTATGTATATGACCTAAGGCCAACGAATACAATCTGGGTTTATTGCAACTTTTCCAGCTATAAAGTTACAACGAAAGTTAACCAACTCTCGCGCAGCTGCGGTTTTGCGGTCTTTAGTTTATGATATATTTCATCGGAAATTATAAATAGCTTATAGTGTTGGTCTAGTGGCTTCATGGTGCGATTCTCTTCTCTGAGGTTGTAGGTTCGAGTCTCGGCTGTGCACCAACGGACTTTCTATGTGCGCATTTAACATTCGGTCGAACGGAAAAGGTAAACTTCGCGATGATTGGCTTAGACCCAAAAATACGACGGCGTGCGTCAAGAGGCTGATTATTTACATGCCTATTAGATGGACAAATGATCATGAAACAGATTTAGAAAGCTAAGGCCCAGACCTGCGATTCTGTAACTCACTTTTCGAACTCACACAGCGGTTTTCGCATCGGCGGTCGCTCTCAAATCAGTCGTGAAGCAGTCATTTTATGATTATCGCAGGGCTGACCTAAAAAGCTACCGAATTTGTATTTTTCCTCGGCCACAGTTTCTAATGTTATTTTCGTAAGATTTGCCACCATTGTTTTGACTATTTAAATCTTTAACGAACAAATTAATAACAATATTTTTGTATTACTTACAATACTAGTTTAAACTTTAGGAAAGTACTTGACATTTAAAATAAACGATAACAAATAGAAAGTGAAGACAATCCAATGGTATCAGTTGAAACGGAACTGTGTTTATTGCCCGTACTCCGCCATTTATTTAAACCTAGTAAAAGGCAATTGCATAGTATGCGCTACCTTTTTAATCGGATAGTTTAAGGTCCATTAAAGAAAAGAATCCAAAATGAAGCCTACATATATACACTGGTACCTCGACATACAAGTTTTCGCTTATTGTAATATTAACGATTATCCAGTTGATAAAACGGCCTGGGACTAGTGCTAGACAGGCTACTTTTAATTAATTTGCGATATTTGTTTTAAAATAAGTGTTGTTTGATGATTTGCTATTTTAATAGAGTACAGAGAGTTTTTTACGCCGGCTTTTTCTCTCGGCCTACACCCTCTGTCTTCTTTGCCGATGAGTAGTACAACCTATAACCTATTCAAATTTAATGACGTGTGATAAGTGATACCTGTATCTTATATTCCATAATAAACATATTTTATTTTATTTATTGCTGTCCGCGCAAGGTTAATATAGTGTACAAATTAAATTCCCTATTATTTAAAGCACCCCGATGACCCAGGTAACCGTACACTGTTACCTACTTCACATTACCGTAGTTTTCCAATGTCGAAACATGAATGATAATTCATAAAACATTTGTAAGGTCAGATAATACATACGAATTTTCCAATAACATATTTCATTCAAGCCCCAACATACCTGAAAGAAAAAAATATATAATAAGTAATACAAAGCCTTATAATTAAATTTCTATGTGTAAGAAAAAAGTAAGTGGAGAGTGTAAGTTCCATAGACTTCAGGTAGGTACCTACAAGATATTGGGGATACACATACTGATTGGCCGGAAGGTCCTGACAAGTTTTAAATATATCCTTCGCAGTCGGAATAACTTTTTAGCGCGAGTTTTGAAACCTAACATGAAGTAAGTTACATAAATCTAATATATAAAATTCTCGTGTCACAGTTTTCGTTGCCATACTCCTCCGAAACGGCTTGACCGATTCTCATGAAATTTTGTGTGCTTATTGTGTATGTCTGAGAATCGGACAACATCTATTTTTCATCCCCCTAAATGTTAAGGGTAGTCCCCCCCTAAATATTTTTTTTTTATTTATAGATATTTTTTTCTGTTTTTATTTTTTTATGATACAGCATTAAAAAATACATACAAACCCCTAACTTTCACCCCTCTACGATCAACCCCTATTTTTTTATTATAAATGATATATATGGCAAAACGACGTTTGCCCGGTCAGCTAGTATAATACATATATATTCGTTAATATTTAAAAGCATAAACAAAATGTAAACAATACCGCACACTTGAAGCCAATATGAGCCCTTTGGTTTTTTTCCACTCATCACTCTTTTCCGATAATGTCCAATAGCATAAGTGTCTTAGATTTACGAACTCTTCAATAAGTTAGTTTTGTCTAAATCCAGCGTCGCTATCCACTATCCCTAATGTTATATTATTTATAAGCTCATGTTTTAAACAATTAAAGCCCGTTGTTACCAGCTTGATACAAAAACCGCCACCAATATTATTTCGCATTTTAGGAAATTACACCACCGCAATAATTTTAGCTGATTGTAGGTAACGGTACAAGTATCAATTAACTAAGCTACAATTGGTATTTTTTTATAGAGCAGGGTGCAAACGGGCAGGCAGCTCATCTGATATTACGTGATACCACCCATGGACTCTCAATGCTAGATGGCTCGCGAGTGACGGCCTTTTACCAATTGGTGCGCTCTTTTCTTGAAGGACCCTAAGTCGAATTGGTTCGGAAATACTTCAGTGGGCAGCTGATTCCACATAGTGGTGGTGCGCGGCAAAAACTGCCTTATAAATGCTAAAACATAAACTGCTCACTCACGATAACCTATTCGAAATTATTTTACATTATGGAAAGATTTTTTTCTAGGCTGGATAAGTCTTACAATCGCTTGATCAATTTGCGATAAACACGCCTACATTACCATAACAAAATCGAAAGTCTCTCGCAATAACAATACATTTTATTTTCTTCTAATCTCAGTATGGCATTTAAACCTAATAGAGACACCTACGTGCTGAATTTATGAGGTTTCTACACCAAATGCGTGGAAAACACGACATCTGACGTCACATGTATGACACCCACGCAAAGCGTCAGTAAATCGTCTACATTGTATATGGTAAGTAAATAGTGGTTATAGATTTTCCTACTATGCGTATAAAAGTAGTGAATGCAACGGGCTATATGACAGCATTCAAACTCCATTTTAGACTATTATATTAGCTAATATAACTGAAACAAAAAAAAAACGTGTATGTACTTATATATACACGCGTTAAGTTATACTTCTTTGGCGTAACAAGCTAAAAATCTTTTCAAAATTTTATCTTTCGCCTTATTCTATGTTTGTAGAAAAAACTAAAATGTTGACTATAGCTAACTTCAGGGTGTCGGTTTTTTGTAACGGTGTGCGCTCACATCGTAAAAATTTACTCTCATCATTTTCCCTAACGCGCCAAAAGAAGTATAACTTAAAAAAAAAATAACTACCAAAACGCTTCTCTAGGCATCCTACTAATCTGAGTAAAGTCCCTGTAAACAAGGCTGTTTCAGCGCAGAGGATCAGTCACACACGTACTCCTGTAATGCGTGGCTGTGGCTTTCCAACGAACAGAAGTCCTCGGAGCAGCGAAGTCGCTCCGTGAAGCCTGTGAAGTGCCCAGGAAACTTCTGAGCTTCTGGAAGGAGCTCAGCTGGCTAGCCAGGACTTACGTAGAACGGACCAAATGTGGGTCTAAGTGCGAAACCTGATTCCAAGTCACCATACTTTACTAAAGACGAAAACTAACCAAAGGATTTTACGTGTTTAAATTTTGATATAACACAAAGACATGAGCAGAGTACTAAATGACAATGATACGAAACGAAATCTGAAGCCCAGACCTAAAAGGTTGTAGTTCCATTTGTACACTAAAACAAAAACTTATTATATTTGTCATATACAAGTCATACTTAGCATTGTCTAAGTTCTTAACGAAACATAAATTCTATTCGACAATATCCCTTCCATAATAATTGTTGTCATAAATAATAGTATTACGTATTTACTGCATGAATACCTCTGTTCCGTAGTAAATTAGTCGTCCTATCTATTGTAGAGGAAGTGAATTGTATAAACACAGTAACACAAGCCAGCCCCGGCAGTTGCTGACAACGTGAGACTTCGCTATAAATCCATTTGCACTAAACTTACGCTTGTAGGGTCACCATAAAATTATAAAAACAAAAATACAAACAGCATTATAAAAGTTTTACAGTCGAAATTATTGAAGTGAAAACTTCTTTAGCGGCGTTGTACTCTTTTTTTTGAATGGGTAAAAAAATGTTAAACTCGCGTCAGGACACGTGACCTGATTGAAAATTCGTAAGACTGGAGAGTAGACAGCTAGCGCGGCGTATTTAATGTAATATAAACTGTCATGTTTGTGTACGATAGCGCAATAAATAAATATTGTATTCTACCACATAAATGATAGTACTTTTATACTGATAATTAAAGCAATTCGTGCTAAATTATTACCTAACCATTCCAAAATATCAAAAATGCACAACGTTAATATTCAAGTTTTCACTTCTGCCGGCACTCCCGGAGGGCAACCCGTCGTTTTTTTTTTCTTTAAGATTCGGTAAGACTTTTAGATTCAGAATCGGACAATTTTACAGTGCAAAGTATAACTCGTATATGTCAAATATAATATGTTTTTGTACACCAATGGCGCTACAACCTTGAAACAAAAATACTAGAACTATTCCTAAATACAGACAGTAAAGTTGGCCTTCATTAGCTGATTTGACCTTGACGTTTCATGATGTAATCAATTCTGTGGACCGGCCACGGCTGATAACATGGCATAAATATCGTATGAACTGATTTTTAGACCTGGTACTGGTCAGTTTACTTCATCATGTTAACTGTTATTATCGGAGCGTACGAGCGTACTCAACATAATGACAAGAACAGAGAATGTACTGTGAACTCTCAAGTGCAGCTGATCAGCGTGGCGAAATGCGGTCAAGGCTACGCTTTTACCGTGCCCTGCCTCCGGCGATGGCTGGTGGCGCCGTGGGGTATACGTGGGTATGCACTGTAGCGAGCCCCACATGACCCTTCACCACAAAGCAGTCAAAAGAAAACTGTCAACTAGTTGCATTGGTAATAGTTAAAATTAATAAAAGTTAAAGAAACGTTATTTGACTACTAATTAAATACTATTCTTTATTAACAAAACTTACGTTCAACATTTTTTAAAACAGACTTCAGGCGAATTTTCAGTACTTTAATTCATAGGCTTTAATACATAAGCTCTCATAAGCTAGTTAAAATTGTTAATGTACAGTCATTTTACAAGTATAATTATGTTCTACATTTGTATAAAGTTGAAAGCCTGCGGCAAACAACTTAATTATACAAATTTTCGAGCTCTTGCCTTTATCAAAAGTCCGTAAATTAACCGAATGAGTTATTCATTTTAAGTTTAGGAATTATTAATTAAAAACCTAATTTAATTATTCAAAGGTGAAAAGGGTGTCATAACCGTAGCTACGCAATAGAAACAATTTTCATACATATAATTGATACAGACTTTTTGTGCGTTAACCTCTGCCAAACTCATGAAGTGTAAAACAAAAGACGACGCGTTTGCGAACCTGTGATTGGACTATACTGTTTAATATACTGCGGCCTTACTTTAAAATTTCCAAAAGGGAAACCGAGAGCCATTCCGATCCCAGTAAGTTTTTGTACCGCATAATCCCAAGGCTATGACATCTACTTAACGAAAGACACTATCGTTTAGTTCCAACCATTACTAGAAAAACATTACATGTGCAGATGCTAGACACGCTATATCCACTATTCACGCAAAGCGCGGTCACCCGAGCCCCTAATGCAATAATAAAGCAATTTCATAGCGCACCTCAGCATCCCGCTTCGATTATTATTTAAACTGTATACATTTGTCTAAAACTGACAAGAATTGTGTAGTAGTATTTTAATATAAATATGATTCATTCCGTAAAGATAGGATGCAACACCGCTTTTTCGATTTTCCCTGTTACTTTTTACTATTTCTTATTATTATAATTTTCTACTATTTTTGATTATTAAGTATTTTTAATTTTTTGCGTCTGAGGCGCAAACTAACTGTTGTGGTCTCTGGCAGAATGACCAGCGCTGTGGAATACGTCTGCTCCATAGCATAATGCTGACCCAGAGCCAATTACAACCACAACACACACACATTACACACTTAAAATGTACCTTATTCCTTTGTTCTTTCCATATTTTTTTTGTTATTTTTTTGTTATTATTATTTTGTATGTTTCTCTGTGTGTGTTATTTATGTCTATGTCTATTATCTATGTTAATAATTTGTACGTAAGTTCAAATATTTTATGAACATATAAACTAGGTGACCCATTAAACGTCAATTTGTCATAAAATTATTTCTAGACATTAACGAAACACACACTTAGAACACTCAGATCGAGAGTTGTCATCTTTCATTTTAAAAATAATTAATCTTATCTATATAAAAATGAATTGCTATTCGTTTGTCTCGCTAAATCTCGATGGCTGTACGGATTTGGCTAATTATGATCTTGATATATTTATGAAAGTTCAGGGAAGGTTTAAACGATGAGAAACATAAAAAAATACGCAAAGAAAAATACATTAAACGATAATCTAAGTTCCTATGTCTGGCAATCCTCTGATGGCAATATATGTCTTTTATCTTTTTAGAAATTAAAAAAAACTCGGTTGTCATATATTCCTGATATATATGCCTTCAGAAATATGTTTCATAGCTGTAGTATAAGGTCCGATCTCTAGTCTGTTTAAAAAAATATTTTTTGGCACAAGTAGGTGATGACGAAGTTCACCAGGCCATCTAAAAGTATAATTAATAAAAAAATTAAGCTTTTAATTGAGACCATCTCCCAGTTGTCATATCGTTCTTTGTGCGATCGCCATTGTCACGATCTAGGTTAAAAAAACTTTTTGATTACGAAATCCACTTTATTTTTCATTTAATCACTCAAAGACACTTTAGCAGTTCCATTTACGGAGCTTTCTTATTAAATTTGCATGAAAATTAAGTTATCTTCGCGAGGAAATGTTGAAAGTGGGTATTAGGGTAGGTGCTGTGTTCATCATGTGATATATTTCCTCGCTTTACTGATTCTTATATAATATTACAGGATTTTGTTTTTGAAGTGAAACTTCTTTAGGTGCGTGAGGGTAAAATTTTTACGGAACGTCACGAACATGTGCAGCGTTTTTGTCGAAGAAAAGGGACAGAGCGATTGAGACCGGTTGAGAGAGTGAGAAGGATGAATTACCTTATAGAAATTCTATTTTACAAATTAAAATTTCGTAAAGAGAATTTATGAAATATAAGTATAATTTATGTTAAATGCAAACAAATTTTTTGAAATCTCAAATGACGAATTGTAAATTAAAATGCCACCTGTTTTTATCATCGAATAAATAAATACAAAAAATTAAATTTATTATTTGTATCAATTTCCGATACTTTTAATATTTTAATGAGAATTAAATTCCTAACATATCTTCCTTTTTCCCTCCCTCTAAGTCTTGGAAATCTAATGTCTTAGAGTTGTATATAAATATGAACAAGACTTAAAAATTAGTTAGCCAAAGATGTTTCACTTCTTGTCAACCCACTTTTTTTTTATACATTTGCACCAAATTTGGGTCAATTGCTGATATTTGGTATTTAACTAGAAATCATTGTCCCCAAAAGGCTGTTTCGCTCTTTTGGTTTGCCGTCTCTTGCTTATATACATCCCCCGGACCGTTATAGGAGTATTTTTTAACAGTTCAATATCTAGGAACACGAATTTAATAAAGTTATTTAGATTAATTTTATAACAACACAATTGAAGGTGCAAACGCAACACTAATTATAGACTTAACAAATCCTTTAAAATTTTACACTACAGAAATATAACTTAAGTTATCTCTGCGTTATAGGGGAGATTACTGTACATACAAAAAAATTACATACAGTATTAACAGTTTAGCTGTGCTTATTCGTGAAAGGTTTAAAAAAGTATATATTTTTTACTGATCACTTACTTTTCTTTTCTTTATTCGTTTTCTCTTTTTACAAACTTGAATCTATACTTATATTAAAAAGAGGAAACATTTGTGTTTTTGCATACGTACGTTTGTAATGTTATCACACAAAAACTACAGCACCGATTTCAAAAGTTCTTTCATCATTAAAAAGCTGCATCTTCATTGATAATCCCTAATGAAAATGCAATAATATAATCCAAACTATGAAAAAATTATCCAAAAAAATATGCCATCGCGTGCGCTATGGAAACTATTGATGATAGAACAATCAATCTACAAAAAGAGTGTTTTACCCATAGGCAATTGTATGTTGACCTATCCCGAGCCGGAACTCCAAAACATGAAATTATATATTTATTTACTTACTTACTCATTAACACTTCGTTGCAATACAATATAAAAATTGAACATAAATGAAAAGGAGGGCAACTGGCGGCCCATTATTTTGCTGCCACAATACAAAACTACGTTAATGTTGTGTATAGGGAAGTTCTAAGACTAGAAGTTAGTTATTAATAAAGGCAATAGTTAATCTTGACATCTATCAATTCAAAGTATAATTTAATGTTTCAAGAAAAACACACGCACGGCTCAAGATGAGCCCCTAATTACGCAACGCTGACGTCACAGTATCATCAGGTCAGTGACCCCGCACCCCCATCCACCCCCACGACCCATTTGCCGTTCAGCGACCTGCGTTACGTCTCACGTCACTGAAGACACGTTTTTAATTTGGAATTCACGTGCGTTGTTTAAATTCACATACACCTTACATGTAAGCACACTCTACAAATATAATTTTTTATCATCATCTTGCTTGTTTTATGGCTCGTTCTAAAATATGTCTGAACTCAGGTTTAAGCAACGGTAAATTCCATTTTCTCCATTTCGACGCCTGACATTTCACAAACAGCTCTTTTAAAGGCACTTTCTGCCACGCACCACCTCTTTGTGGAACCAGCTCTGAAGAACTTCCGAACCAATACGACTTAGGGTCCTTCAAGAAAAGAGCAATTACCAATTCTTACAAGCGAACGCTCTTGTAATATGTATATATCATTAACACGAAGTGAGCCTCCTCCCCGTTTATATAAAAAGTGCGTGCGTACAAAGTACACTTGTCAGAAATGAAACTTCTTTGGCAAACTATAATTTTAACTCTTATTCATATTTATACAAATCTAAAACTTTAGATTTCCTAGACTTAGAAGGAGGGAAAAAGGAAGATTTGTTAGGAATTTAATGAATTTAATTGCCATTAAAATATTAATACAAATTATAAATTTATTTCTTCGATAATAAAAACACGTGGCATTTTAATTTACAATTCGAAATTTGAGATTTCAATAAATTATTTTACAGCTAAATATAAAATACTAATATTTCATAAATTCTCATTCCAAATTTTTAATTTTAATAGTGAATATCTATAAGGTAATATATGCCCTTCTCACCCTCTCTCAATCGGTCTCAATCGCTCTCTTCCTTTTCTTCGACAAAAACGCTGCACATCTTCGTGACGTTTCATCCGTAAAAATTCCCCGACTAAAAAATACGAAAATCCTTTCAAGCCTCTCAATAAGAGCGATGCAACCTAAACCCATTGGTTCACCATAACAGATACGTCCCTACAACAGTGTAAATAAAAATCCAATGCTGCTAATATTTAATAATAAAACCTCGCTCACCTAATGAGTACGATCCCATTAAACGAGTCTTGCCCGATATGGCACACATCTCCGCTACGTAGCGGTAATTAGTCACGCGCTACTGACCTTAGCTGTACCGAAATTAAAATATAATGTATATAAAATATACATGTGTATAATATGGTATAATAAAGTGCTGCCTGTCCTTGTAGCGATACAGCTGAAGAGACGCTGTTACATGTTCTGACCGACTGTCCATTGTATGGATACATATAAACGATTTTAAAACAAATGGTGACTTTCACCAGTATAATACGCGAAATAGAACTAATTTGAGTGTACGACCAACCAGGCTCCAAAAGATAAACCACTCCTTATATGGAAATTGTATTCGTTTTTACAACAAACTCCCAAGCGAAATTAGAGAATTATCACTAAATAAATTCAAAGCCCTTGTTAAACGAAAATTAATCAACAAAGCCTTTTATAAATTTGAGGACTACTTAAATGATCCTAATCCTTGGGATTGAATTGCTCCAGTTCAAACAATTTGTATGACAATACTTGGCGATTAAAAAGAGTGGCGGAAAGTTTCTTGCCAGTTCTTCTTACCCGCTCTACGCCCTTGACTTGCGAACTGGTAGTAAATGTAAATTTATGATTAATTTAACTTGACGATTCAAAAGTGTACTTGGTTACCCACTTGAATAAAGATATTTTGAGTTTGAGTTTGAGTTTACAACTGATCAAGCTATGGGCATAAAAGTAACAGAGACGAATTTAAAGGAAATAATGTTGAAAATTAGGTTAAGGGGCATCTTTTTAGGATTTGCTATAAGGGTCATACAAAAAGTTGTCAAAAGAAATAGGTAGTAGTGTTTAATCATACTTTGACGACTCATTGGTCTAGTGGTTAGTACCCCTGACTGCAAATCCTTGGGTCCAGGGTTCGATCCCCGGCTGAGACGAACATCGATGTGATGAGCATTTGGTGTTGTGCTTAGGTCTTGGGCGTTTAAATATGTATTTATATGTCTATCTATCTATAATATGTATGTATATCCGTTGCCTAGTACCCATAACACAAGCTTTACCAGCTTAGCATGGGACTAGGTCAATTGGTGTGAATTGTC